TTTTTTTTTTAGTTACACTAAAAATGAGTGATAGTTGTTGGCATTCTCTTTTGTTTTTGAGAAGTGAAGTTTGTAATATGTTAGTGTTTTGAGAGACAATATGTATATTTGTGTAATGTTTGTCCATTACCAATAGATTATTGAATATTTGTTTCTTACCCTTTCTTCTATGGGTGTAATTTGCATAAGGTTGCAACTTAAACAATCCATGGTGCACCTCTAAATTTTATTATAAATGTAATTTTGATATAAAAAATTCTTAGGATAGCTTGAGAATCTATTTTCATCTTTAATAATAAAATTTTAAACTCTAAAAATAGTTTAAATCAAGTAGATCTATAACCTATAAAAATATTGAAAATGTTTACTATTAAACTCTAAAAATGGTTTAAATCAAGTAGATCTATAAACATATAAAAATATTGAAAATGGACGGTCCAAATAATGTGTTGAAAGATGCACTATTTCGCAGACTTTATTTATTTATTTATTTTTTCATATTTATACACCTCGATATCGAGATGATCAATTAGAGGGTTTTTCAACCTCCAAACAACATTTTATGATGGATTTTTTAGGTACAACTTTAATTCTACATTTCTTATATAAACTTTTCCTTCTTTTAATCGTATCTATAGCACTAAACATGTCGTTGTGCTCTTTTTATTTTTCTCTACTACGGGTATTTCCTAGCATGGTTATGTTAAAAAACATAGCTTTATTTGACGTTCATATAAATCGGTATTTTGATACATCTCAACATTTGAGGGCACCTGGTATATACTAAGAATAATAAAAAAAATATTATTACTTTTAGTTGTGTTTATACACATGATTGAGCTCCTTTTCTGTGTCTTTAAGACCGATGTTTGCTAGGGTGATTATGCTGCGGTTAATTTCAATAACGATAAGTCTGTGTGATTGCAATACTTCATCTCATGTGCGGGCACATATCATATATAAAAATAATAAACAATATGAAGGATCTCATAGTAAGATTTGAACTCATGCTATTTTGGCATTACAGTCTTTTAATTTTAACAATTCCCTATCTACTTTTCATGTGGTATTAAAAGATAAAACTAGACAACATATACTAAAGAGGTTTGTATAAGGTGCCCCCTCATACCCTACTAGTAAAGTGCACTTCTAAATTTTGTTGGGAGATGTAGTTACTGGTGTTAGATGTCTTACGATTGCTTGAAAATAATTGTTCAACTTTACTTATGAAATTTAAAATTTATAAAATGATGCATATCAAAAGCAAATCTATAAACACTTGAAAATATTAAAAATTTTAAAAATAATACACATCAAGCAAATCTATAAACTCTTGAAAATCTTGAAAACAAACAATGCAAATAACTTGCTATAAAATGCACTATTTTTTTTCCTTTCTTTATATTCATACATATCAAGGTTGGGATGATCAATCAGAAGATTTTTAAACTTCATAATACTATTTTCTAGTAGATTTTTGAGGTGCACTTCTATAATATAAGATTGCAACCTCATATTAAAATTTTCTTTTTATTATTCAACATTTTATTCATAAATAATAATTAGACAAGAGTCCTAATGTAATTACCATTTTGTCTCAAGTATTGCATGAGACACTGATATCCGTGCTTCAAAAGTAAATGTATACAATGAGACCATTTACATTTAAGACATGGAGGTCACAATCATTATTGACAGTTTGATGTGAAATTAAGTGGTTGAAGATGTGTTATTGATGGGGTACAAAGTCCAAAATAAATTTTCTCAAATATTGTAATATACTTCAATCTATTAAATTTCACATCCAATGTTAAAAATATTCGTGACTTCCTTATATCAATAATAACTCGTCTCAGCACATCACCCGAACTTATAACCCCATTTTTGTTTGTTTTCTTCTTCTTTAATGTAGTAACTTTGTCATTATGAAGCAAGCTACTATACTCTTGTAGGCCTTTTCGTTTACTCAAAATCATGCTCAAGGATAGTTCATGTTACTTTTTTATGAGAAAGAACTGAGATTCGGACTTACAATATGTACCATGATTCGGACTTACCAACGGGCCAAGTCCGAGTCTAGGAGCACTTCCTAGAATGCAGACTGTCCATTTAATTTTGGATATTTCTTCCTCTTTTTCTATTTTTTTTAATACATTCACCAACGGTTGTAAATAGAATACGGCCTAGATGCGTGGACATGAGGAAAAATAGATTTGAAGTCTTGAAAATAGTGCATCTTGTAATGAATTTTTGAACCGTCAATTTTCAAGATTTACATGTATTCATAGATTTGCTTGATCTACATTATTTTTGAAATTTTAAATTTTATTATTAAATATGAAAACAAAGTTTCAAGCCATTACAAAGATTTGGACACTGTTTCTAAGCTGCCAGCCCGCATATGGTAGAAATACAGGCTTGGCAATAAATATATTTTAAATATAATTTGATACTAAGTTTTAGAGAATATATAATCTTTAACATGGAGATCACGAATATAATTTTTTTTTTGAAAACTAGAAATAATAATTATATTAAAAAAACATTTGGACTGTTAGTTATAATTGTTTTTAGATGGAACGCCTAATTGCATCCATCTTTAAGATGGATGCTATATACTTTTGGACCACATATTGTAGAAATGCGGTCCAGCCCGCATGGAAAAGTTTTCCCAAATATTTTTAGTATTAAATAATACTTTTGGACACTTTTTGAATGTGTGCCTTACTTTGATTGTTTAGGGCCTCAGCCTTATGCAAACCACTCCTATAGATGAAGGTCTTTTAATCGGATGATTTGTATGAGAGTGTAAATATATATCTTGGTCCTGCAAGAGCATAGTTTATGTATAAATCAAAATTTAAACCCTTGTTTCCACCTATACCTGCATGGTTTTGTTCTTATCGATACGAAGATTTGGCAAAGCAAATCTCAATTTAGTAATTAATCACGCTTATAACGACACCCTTTCTCACCCCCTCTGTGCTTTCCACCCCTCTCTAATTTAATTTCTCCAGCACTAACTGTGTGACCCCACCACGTCTCTCTCTCCTTTTAATCCTTCTCTCTCTCTCTAACAAGGCCCCACAACACTTAACCCCTCTCTCTCTACCAAATGGCCGGAAACTCATTTGCAGAGGCCGGAAGTCCGGCCTCAAAGAAGAGAAAGAGGCCAGAAAATAAGGTTTTCCGGTTCAAAACCTTCATGAGCCCTGGGATTCCGGCCAATTTTGTCGGTGATTTTCGCCGAAATATTGAGGTATTGCTTAGTTTTGGACGAAAGGAGACAGGGGAAAGAGGGGGCTCGCACGTGTGGTTGTTTGGGTTGGAGCCATACGATAGGGCGCCCGCACGTGTGTCTCTGATAGTGGTGGAGGAGGAGGTGGAGAGGTCGCTCAATCCCCATTGCGATCACTGCAAATTCGTAGGTAAATGCAACATATTTGCCTTGTTGTTTTTGTGTGCTATGGACGGTGTGGATTAGAGGACTATATGCTAGCCTTATATCTTTGCCGTCCGTATAAGGAGCTAATCTTGCTCTAATGTAGAATTACGGCGTCAGTACATTGCATGGTATTATTTACGGTGTAATGGGTTTCACACGTGGGAAAAATTTTATGAAAAAATGCATGTGTGCAATGAGAGAGGGATACGGAAAAAAGAGCCCGAGCTTAATTGGTCAGCGCTTGACAATTTGCAACGCTGTTTTAAGTTCAAAGGTAACAATTCTCTCCTCACTTACCCATAAAAATGAGAGAGATGGAGTTGAAAAGGGCAAGCTGCGTCGGCAGGCCTAAAAAGAGTAGGGCCTTGGCGACAATGTAGCCTGATGCCAGGTATGCGAAGCCTGGGCTGGTACTGCCTGACTTATTTATTTATTTCTTATCTTTGAGTCCAGGAAGCCCAGCCCAGATCGGGCCAAGGCTAGCCTTGTGTCAAGTTCTCCCTGGCCCTGTCAAAGCTGGGACAACTTTTGAGGGACATGAGCCAGACTCGCGCTATAGTGTCAGGGTCCAGTGAAGATAAGAAAGGGAGGATGTGTCGTAGCGTTCTAGCATGGCTACATATTCCTATCCCAAAAATAACATCACGAAACAACAAAAGAGAAATATCCGTTTATCCCTACCGTTATCGAATGGATGGTCAATGCCCTTAGTGTAGTTTCAAAAACAAAAAAAAAAAAATCAAGAAATTGTAGAAAAATTTGATACCTAATATTATCCCAGGACACAACTTTTATGTGGGCTCTAATGAACTAAAGGAGAAATTACAAATAAATTTTATTTTATTTTTTATATTTGAAAAATAGACTTATAACTTTCATATTTTATATTCAAGTCCCATTTGTTAGAATATAAAGTGTATTTTAATTTTTTCTTTTCTCTCTATCGAATTATGCTCAAATTTGGTATATACGTACTTCTTATTAATGTAAACTTATAAAAAATATTTTAAAAATAATGTAAAAGGGGTAATTCAATAATTTATTTATTTTAAATTAATTTTAAAAATATTTTTTACGAGTATGTAATGGTGAAAAATTATGAACATATCAAATTTGAGTTATATTTGATGTATTAAAAAGGAAATAAAATTGAATTATACTTTATGTTTTAAAAATGAGATTTAATTGTAAAATACGAAATGCATGAGACTATTTTTAAATATAAAAAATAAAATTATATCCATATGTAAATCTCGTTTATGGACCATAAAAAATAATTGGATGATACAGATATGAGGATCGGCACAAGAAGACGGGTGGGGCATATAACATTCCCTTGTTGCATGATTTAAGAGTTTATTTTGGTTGTTGTTTTTGTTTAGGATGGGGTAACCATCCAATCTCTAGCAAGAAATACCACTTCGTGGTGCCCTTCAAGGAAATCAGCACGTGCGATGATACTTTTATACAAACGTGTTTAAACACAAGAGAGCCATGTGGGACCCACCTAATGCATGGCGTGGTCCACTTGAATGGGTTTGGGCATTTGCTATGCCTAAATGGAAAAGAGATGGGCTCCGAATTTGTCTCAGGACACCAAATTATGGACTTCTGGGACAGGCTGTGCACAACTTTACGGATAAGGTCAGTCCAAATTTTCTGTTTCTTTTTTTTTGTTTTTTGTTTTTTGTTTTTTTTGTTTTTTTTTAAAGGAAAATGATCTTTACTTTTTCAGACACTTAAAGTTCGATGGATTTCAGCCCATGGTTCAGTTGAGAGTTGATTTTTTACCTTAAAGTTGTTGGTTCAAACTCTAGTTGCGTTGCTCATAACTCAAAATCATGCTTGTGACATTCGATATAGGCTGCGTTGTTAGGGAAGGGGCTGGGTCGTAGTAGTAGTACCCCTTTACGTAAAGTTTCGAATCGTGCTAATGCCACTCATTGATACTCTCTGGAGGGTACAAAAAAAGGGAAAAAGTTTATATAAAGCTGAGGCTTTAAACAATCAATTTACGGTGCATTTCAAAAGTTCATTAAAAGAGGTTATTTTGAAGCAAAAAGTCTTCAAATTGATCATTTCGACCTCAAGATGTATGGATACGAGAAAAAATAGATTTTAAGTCTTAGAAATAGTCCATCTTGTAATGTATTTTCAGACTGTCAATTTTCAAGATTTTCAAGTGTTCATGGATCTGCTCGATCTACACTACTTTCGAAGTTTTAAATTTTCTAATTAGAGATGAAAATAAATTTTCAGCCTATCACAAATATTTCCAGTATTGAAATAACATCTTTTGACAGTATCTGAAGGTGCGCTGATTGTTTCGAGCCTCAGCCTTGTACAAACCACACCTGAAAACAATGATATATCCATGAGAAAAGCATGTATATAAGGACTTTTAAATTGAAATTTCAATTATTTATTATTTATATTCATAAATCACCTTTTGATACAAGGATATCACAATTACTTATTACCATCCGATTTGAAATTTGATAGTTTAGGTGTGTCACAAAATTCAAGAAATTTTTTTTGAAGTTTGAGTTTGGTCAATAGAATAAATACAGCCATCCAATTTCATATCCAATAGTGAATATTAATTATGAGCACCTTGTACCAAAGGTAACTAGTCTCATTGCATATTATTCTTTATAGGAAATACTTTTCTTGCTAAAAATATTCCTGTAAAATGATTTTTTGTTATTTAGATGGCATTTGTATGGAACCATAGAAATACAGTTCTACTTATTTTTATTGAATGTCTCCATCAATGTTCGCAAAATCTAACTGGAACGGTTAACCAGACATAGGGCTGGGAGGGGTTAGAAGCCGAACCAGACTAACTGGGGCGGTTAACCGGACTAATCGGTTAAGTGTTTATATATATATATATATATATATATATATATATATTTGGCTGCTTTGCAGTCAGTGCGTATGAGAAATTGTTGATTGAGAATATCACTTTGAAATTTTATAACACAATGAACAATGGCTAATAATTCTTTTTTCACCATAGAATAGTTTTTCTGGGTTGGGTTCCAGGCTTTCGAGGTATACCTGAGTAGTTGTTCCTGATTATCAATGCGTTGTTTGAGAATACCACCCAAACCTATTTCTGAAGCATCACATTCTATTATCTTGAAAGCAGTAGGATGAGGAAGAGAAAGACAAACAATGTTTTGACCTTTTGTTTAATTAGTAGAACTGTTTTAGTATGGATATTTGTCCAAGGTGGATGATTCTTTTTTAATCTATCATGTAAAGGTTTCGCATCTATGACAAGATTAGGATAGAATTATCAAAATGTACCAATACACTTTGACTTTATTCATAAACCAAAATTAAAAGAAATTAATAATGTTAAAAGTCAGTTACAGAATAAAGAAAAATTTCTTTACACTTTAAAACAAGAAATTAAATATAAGTATATAGAAGAACAAATACAAGAACCTTTGATTCAACAAAAGATTCAATCAATTCAAAAACAAATAGAAACCTCTATATGTAGTGAACATCCCAATGCTTTTTGGGAAAGGAAAAAGCATAGTATTAGTCTACCATATGAACAAGGATATATATATATATATATATATATATTAATGGGTACAAAAACCTTACAAAACAAATAAAAAAATAAAAAAACGAAAAACTTTAGATTAAATGTATAATATCTTATTGGCTGTGGTTTCCTATAACATCTTATTGGGTGTGGTTTCCATACAGTTGCAACCGTAACAATCCCACTACGGTGCACTTTCAAATTTTATCACAATATATAATTTTGATGTAAAATGTTCTTTAGATTATCTCAAAATTTATTTTTATATCTAATTATAAAATTTTGAATTTCAAAATAGTTAAAATCAAGTAAATCTATAAACATATGAAAATCTTGAAAACGGACGGTGTAGATAATATGTTGTAAAATGCACTATTTATGAGACTTAATTTTTCATGATCATACATCTCGATGTTGAGATGATAAATCAAAGGGTTTTTCAACATTAAAACTACATTTTCCTATGGACTTTTGAGGTGCATCCATAGTTCTACATTATAAGGTTGCATTCTTATATAAACTCTTTCCTATCTTATTACATACATTTATCTTACAAAAAAAAATTGAAACAACTTTTTATATAAAGTAATATTTGAATACTATGGCCCTGTACATGATCCTAAGCAGCTCACATAAATCTTTTTGTTTCTAGAATGAAATCTGATACTAAGTTTACAACACCTTACCACAAATGTATTACCCCATTGTAAATATGCAATTTATATATTTAGGTGTTACAACTAGGCATAAATATTATATTAGCCTATGCTTTTTTTTTTTTGACAATGACATTAGTCTATGCTTATTACTACAAAAATATCAGCATACATATATATTTACGCATTTCAGTTTCAAGTTTTACACTACTTCAAGATACTACTAATCACAATTAGAAACAATAGAAAAGAAATTGATCCACCAATTTTTACATGTCCATCTAGAATTTCATCAGTAACAGACAAGATGTCACAAGGTAGAGAGGCCGATACATCTAGGTTTTATCATATAAATCAAAACAATATATTTTATCAGAATAAATAATTTATCAAAAAATATTATTTTATTAAGAAAAATCGAAAAACACTTCCCATATTAATAAATAATAATAATTTTATTATGTAAAATACTTTTTTTTTATGAAAGATTGATTTTTCAAAAACTCCTAAAATCAAGTAACATTTCAAACAAGAAATGACCTTTAATGTTTGGATAATCAAACAAATCAACACACAAGAACTAGAAAGTAAAGGCTTCGATCACCCTTTCAAATGCACCAAAAATCATAAAAAAGAATATTAAGTATGTTTTATTTAATTGAAAAAATCATGAAAAATCCAGATATGTGAAATCGAGCAAGAAAAAAATTCATATAAAAATATTTACTCAATAATAAATAAGCATACTTAGTTTATGTGATACATGAAGCCTTGATAATCAAAATACACAAATCAATTTGATAAGAAAGACCAAAAAATTGATCTAAATTCTATTTTTTGGGATGAAACATAGGTTCTTCGAGCAACAGCTTTTCGGGCCAAAATCAACCCCCGATCTTTTGTTTTCTAAACAAATTGAAAGAGGTATATGGTAGATGATTCGATTAGGATTAAAAACCCTAAAATTTCAGCAAAAACCATTGGCTATTGAAGGTGGTATTGATGAAATGGTGATAATTTCAAAAGGCGTGAAAATTCACCATTTCAGTCTACAAAATCTCTTGATTTTTCAATATTGGATTCAAATTTTCTTGTTTTACAGACAATAAATAGTGTTTTATAACCACAAAGCATGAAAAATACAAAAACAAATGGCAAAATAAAGAATAAAATGAGCTGAAAAATTGACATGTGAATTCCTGCATCAAATACCGGCTTCAATTGAAAGTAATAGGCTATTATGCTAATTGTTCATGAAATCTGTTATATTCATTAACCATTTCGGTTAGTTGAAAAACCGGCCGGTTTGACCAAAACACGGCCGATTCGATCCATAACCGGCCGGTTTTGGGCCTGAAATTTTATGGGGTTATACCCTAAGCTAGGAGATCCCCAAAACTGCTCCTAATGGGACTCGGAACCCTAGCGGTTCCTAGCTAACTAGCCAGTTCCGAATGGCCGATTTTGCTAACAATGGTTTTCATAGAGACAAGAAATACATTTGTACCTAGAAAAGGAGTGAAATGAAAAAGGATCTCTAAAGAGAAAAATATGGCACATATAGAGAGAAGAAAAAAAAAAAAAAAGGCTAGTGCAAGATAGACGAGATATCTATGTACAGGAACAAAGATATATATGAGAAACAAATATATAAAGACTTCTTAGAGGAAGAAGAGAGCGTAAGGTAGAAGACAGAGTGTATGTTGAATTAGAGAGAGAGATGGGGGATTCGACAAGAAAGTTATTTTTTTAGGTTGTGGGGAGAAAAATGATTTATGTAGTTTGGGTTCAAAATAAAAAAAATAAATTTTAACTAAAAAATTTCCATCCCATATTTTTGTTTTTTTTATCAAAAGGCAGAAATGAGCAATCTCCCTAGATAAATAAAAAAGGAATCCAGAAGTAGACGACTTCGTTTCATGCTTTGAAAAACTCTCCACTCTTCAAATTTTTCAATTCCATTATTCTTTTCACACGGTAGAATTTGTGGTGCACATGAATTTATCGCCATAATTAAATAGGCCCTTATAGTAGCTAAATGTAGGTTGCTTGGAAGGAATGATCCGCCGTTGTTAGTACAAGGAGGTAGCAAATATTCATTGTCCATCAGATTCCCAATTAGGTGGGTGTAAGAGTGTCTTGACTTTGAATCAAAATTTTAAATTTTTTTTTTGAACTTCGTGACACACCCATAACGATTATATCCAAAGAGCACAAATAAATTTCCTATGGCACCTTTACATCATCTAAGCCATCAAATGTGAATAATGGAAGAGTGTAGATTGTGATTCCATAGCATGGCCAATATTGTAAATAAGACCACTGAATTTTTATACATCGAAGTTAAAATCACCATTGACCGTTAGATTTGAAATGGATTGTTCAGAATTTTGTCATTGTTTAGGCACAACGTTCAAAACAAGATTTCGTGAATTTTGTAACACATTTTCATCTTTTTAATTTGGCATCTAATGATTAATCCTGATTTTGACCTTTTTGTACTAAATTAAATGGTCTTATAGGAAACAATCCCGTAAGTAAATATTAACAACTTGTCGCTGAGAAAATTTTTGGCGGTTTTTCCTGCCTTGGGGAGAAAAAGAGCAGTGAAGAAAAACAACATAGAAGTGAACGATTTATTGTTTTCTTTAGATTAAAAAAAGAGAATGTATCAAACTACACCTAAGATTTATATTCTTAACGTCTTATTCGTATTTTATGATCCAAGTTCAATGATCAAATTTCAAACATCAAAATGGGTTTTGAAATTTATCAAAATATGCTTAGGATAAAATGCTAAATAATTGAAATTTTGATATATTTGGATAAATCTCCATTAAAAAGAAAGATAAGCACATCCACCAAAGTTTAGAAAAATAGATCGGTGACCCGGATCGCCTATCAAGAAAATCAGTTATGTCCGAGTTAATTAAAAGAATTTGGACAACAAAAAATTTGAAAAATTTAAAATATAAAAGGTGAGGTCAGTTATCTGACATAACCAAGCCAACTCTGTTAGAGAACTTACCGGAACCGACTGGTTCATAGAGCGAATGATGGGCCGATTCCCGATATTTTGGGGGAAACAACCTAGCCCCTTTGGCTCCCAATCCGGATTGCTGTTTTTTAAACCCTCATGTCTACGATTTGTAGAGCTGGCAATGGGTCGGGAGCCCGGTCAAAAAAAAAGTAGGACCTTGTGGTCCATTCAACCCAACCAACCTGACCCTCGTTTTTTATTGCTTTTTTGTCCTGTCGTTCTTCATTTGTTTTCAGCCCGGCCTGGCTCTACCGCGCAAGGACCGGGCTAGGATCAGGGCTAGGGCTGGACTAGAGCAGGCCCGGGTGTTGCAAACCTTAACCATTGAAAGTGATTTCCTTAACAAATACCCGCTAATTAACCTGGGATGGCTTGTCGCCTCTTGTGATAAACGGGATTAGTGCAGGAAGATCAGCCTAGTGGACGAGGCTAAGACGCGGCGCATGCACCTGCGCCTGCTCCACGGTGTGGCCGACGGCGAGCCATGGTTCGGTCGCTGGTCCTATCGCTTCGTCCGTGGCTCGTTCAACCTCACCCACCACGCCTACCTCAAGGCTCTCCACGCCCTGCGCTCAACCCCCCTCCAAAACCTAACCCTAGCCCTCGTCCACCTTCCCCTCCTCCTCTCTCGTTACCAGCCCTTCTCTCCCTCTCCCTTGCAAACCCTATCCGACCTCTTCAAACTGCTCCTTGACCTCCACTCTAAGCTGCCTGAAAACAGCTTTTCGTCGTCAGAAAACTGCCTTTCGTCGCCGGAAAATGGATTCCCGGCGCCAGCAACTGCCTGTAGATGGTCGGCGAAGCGCCTGGAAATGGCTACCTGTGTTATTATCGAAGCCCTAAACCAGGCTAAAAATCGATGGGTTTCAAGGCAAGAGGTTAGAGACTCGGCTCGAGCTTATGTAGGGGATACAGGGCTTTTGGATTTTGTTCTCAAAGCACTCGGAAATCAAGTAATCGGAGATCGAGTCATAAGACGAGTCCTGAATCCTGTGACTAAAGTGCTCGAATATAGGCTCGAGGATCTTTGCCGGAATCCGTTTTCAGGGCCGGAAAACTATATTTCAGGGGTGAAGATGGCGCACTCTCAGATTTCGAGGTCCCAGGTGGCCAAGGACCTGGCCTATTTGTACAAGAACGTGCTCAGGGATAACGGCCGGAATTCTGGTTTTCCGGCGACTGGAATCCATCTCCCGGCAATCAAAGAGGCGGTAAGGGCAGTGCTCGACGCCAAACACTTGGTCAAAGATTACGAAGCCGCCACGGACAGGGGCGGATCGAGCCATGAAGGAGCCATGGTTCGGGTTTTGTGCTCTGTTTCACTCGAGAACGGCGACATTTCGGCGGATGGCGAAATTTCGGGAGCAAGAGTTTCGGCCGAGTCAGTTGTGATTCCGGCCGAGTTCGTATCGATTCCAGCGAGGGCGAGTGTTGGGGATTTGAAGAGAGAGTTGGAGAGCGCTTTCGGTGAAATTTATTTTGGATTGAGGGGTATTTTCGTGGCCGAGGTGGTGGGTGCGAGAGCCTCGGACCCAGTGGGTCGGATGGTCAAGTCTGGGCACGAGGTGGTGGCACGGGGGAGGGTGCCTGGTGGCTCGGTGTGGTGCGAGGGGAAGAGAGAGAAGGGAGGGGTGGTGGATTGCTTGTGCGGAGCGAGAGAGGAGGATGGAGAGAGAATGGTGTGTTGTGATGTATGTGAGGTTTGGCAACACGCGAGGTGCTCGAGAGTGGACGGTGATGATGTGATTCCTACCATATTTTTGTGCACCCGATGTGAACAGGACCTTGTTGTGCTCCCTACTTCGCTGTAAACAAGTGGGGTGTATGTTAGAGGGGCCTTTCTCTCTCCACATAACTCTTTGCATTTGTTTCTTTTAGTTGAATTTCTGTGTTTATTGTTTTGAATTATAAATAAAGAGATTGTTTATCTTTTTGTATATAAAGGTCACAATCATCATAAGTTACGAAGTCTAATTTTTTTTTCTTGTGTATTTAATGGCACTCTTATAATCACTTGTTTTGAAATTTAAAGGACAATAACGATTATAACTTTCATGTACAAAAGATAAATAATCTTTTTATAGACAATCTTAATCTCTCTAACTTGTGACCAATAGTGAACCTATCTCACTATTTGGGTTGTGCACTTCTCATTAAAAATTAGCTTAGGAGCACATATACTATGCTTAGATTATTTCTACTCCCTCAACCAGAAGACCCAATTGGGAGGAATTTTTTCAATCTAAAATTTTGGGAAACACTTAAAATCAGAAGATAGTTAATCTAAATTTTTTTTTCGAAATTTGAGTTTTTTAACACTTTGATCTCAACATCTAAAAATTGAATGTCTCTGTTTAGTCTAGAAACATTATTTTTTTCAAGTGCATATAAGGTACAATTCGGAATCTTTTTTATTGAGGTTGATCTATAAGTTGAACAGGTTGCATCCCCAAAATTTGAGATACTAAAATACTCGAGGGTAAACACCATCTTTTAGGCACTATCTTATCTTATGTGCAATAGACCAGTGCAAGACCTGACCAGCAAGAACGGATATTTAGACCAAAGTTTATGTGCAATATGCCCTAAAAAGCCTAGCAGCTGGTTACCATACATATCACAATGACCAATCAGTAACAGGGAATCTGAAATTTAGACCAAACTTTGGGATATACATTCCCAAATCCTTTATATTCCTCTCCACCAAATTCAGGGAAGTTTGGATAAGATTGGATGTGTCTGGAGGTCCATCGTTCGTCGAGAGGGGCTTATGCTACCTGTCCTTGTGAAAACCCATCCGATGATATGAGAATATGATGAAACTCTGGAGCTGTTCATAGCAAGGCACTATATTTCATACGATTCGGACTTCATTTGATACATCTCCGAACCCACCTGAAGCCAGGGCTTGACCATCGGTCCCTTCATGATGTTTGGGATTGATTTGAAACGTCTTAGATATCCTATGTGAGGCATGGGGAGACTCTTCTTGAAGTTTCAGCTTATTTGGAGATAATTTGACCCTTCATTCACACACTAAGGAAGCCAAGGCTTATATCCACTTGCTGCCAGGAACATTTTTATCAAGCAATATGATCCTTGACCACTAAAATTGGGATTTTATAAATCTATAAGGAATTGTTTTCAAAGACTTGAATGGGTTCCTGAATCGAGATCCCATCGTCTAAGGGAAGGTGGTGGCCCAAAGATCTCTCATGAAAAAGCAGTTGGAAGTGCAACATGAGCTTCAAAACTATTCAACAGCCTCACCACCAGTCTAAGATGTCTCCCAATATATATGGCGTTTTCTCACCAAATTTCCTATATATATATATATATGTAGAGTTTTCTCACCAAATTTTGTGGATGTGTTCCTGATAAACTCCTCTACAAGAATATCAAAATTTCAAGGTTTATAATCCTTTACGATGAAATCGGTTGGGCCCACAAAACGTTGATTTATTGACAAAGTCAAAAGCATAAATGGTTCAACTTCAGCTAATCATCTCACTAGTTAATAATCTATTTGGAGTGAAATTTGGAAATTGTTTCATCTTTAAGTCTTTCTTTTTTTGAGAAATATTTAACCAATCATATCATCATAAACTCAAACATCAAAATACTTGAGCCAAAAAGCCCAGAAACCAGTTATTACAATCGTAATATCAAAACAAAAAAAAGTTCAAAAACAAAAGCAATCACAAAATAACAACAATTAAACTCACCAAAGCAATGCCTTCTTAGCAAGTCGATCGGCTTTATATTTGATTCACGAGAAGCATGACCAAACCTCACTGTCAGATCTTCACATTCCACATTTACTTCTCTTACTAAACTATGTAAAAGCCAAGGGAAATCAACTTCTCTCGTTATCCACTCAATTACATTAAGTGAATCCCTTTCTACCATAACTGGTTTGTTAAATTGCTTACTTAATTTAACACCTTGAAGCAATGATCTCAACTCCGCCTCATTTGCCGTGATATTCCCAGCTGGACCCGAGTACTTTAACAATATATTTCCTAGGCAGTCACGAATGATACCACCCACCTCTGCCAGGCCTGGATTAGCCACTGAACTTTCATCGAAGTTCAATTTGAGTCTATCGGCTTGTAAAATCTCATGTCAAAAGGATTCACCATCACAAAGCTGCATCATCTGAAAGCAAGTGCACTCATTTGCACACAAGTGTGACCGCCACTGGCCAAGGAAAAGAAATAAATCCGAGTTGGAAGTTGCTACATCTCGAGTTGGTTTCAGTTCAAATCTGAACCTAGCTTATACTTGAGTCAATTTCGTTTCAAATTTGAACTAATGTTTATGCTAAGATTGTTTAGAGTTTAAATTTAAGTGGGGTTTATCCTTTCAAGATCTTTCTAGAGAGAAGTAGTTTGTGTTAAGAATAGAAAATCCTAGATTGGGAACTTTGACAGAGAAAGAGAAGAAGAAGAAAAACGCACTTCATACACTATAATCTACATTTACAATGACATATATATATATATATATATATATATATTAACAAAAAGAATTAGAAGGACTATATTACCCATTGGGTAAGGACTATATTATGCTACTATCTCTCTTAACCACCCCTTCAAGCGACATGCTATTGGTGCATTGAGAGTCTTCTTTATTGACTCTAAGTTGTTTGGCGTCTATTCAATGCTTTGGTGAACGTGTAATATGATGTGATGAAGGAACAAATACTATAGAAATAGCATATGATAAGAGATTTCTCTGATGAAGTGATAACTCGGCTCTATAGTGTTAGTGTGAGCATGAAAGTACGAGGTTGTACGTCGTACGTCGCTAGTTC